GGGCCGACGTGGCGAGGGGAGGGGCCGAGTGGAGAGGCGGGGCCGACGTGGCGAGGGGCGGGGCTGGGAGGCCCAGGCCTCTACTCTGGGCGTGGACGCCGGAAGTTCTTGGGTTTGAGTATTCGGAGTTTAAGGAGATAGGCCTCGGAAGGCTAAAACAAAACAAAACAAACCAAGAATCTGAAAGAGCCCAGCGAATACCTCCGCACCAACTGGGGCTGTGGCTCCAAGGCTGGCGGCGGATGATCTCCGGACCCAGGCCCCACATCCTTTGCGGCTGCTGCTCTTTTGCTGCCTGGTGATGGCCTGAGATAGCCCAGGGCAGGAGATTGCCCACGTGCGCGGGCGCCAAGGCGGCTCACGCCTGTCACCTCAACTACTCGGGAGACTGAGATCTGAGGATCGCAGTTCCAAGCCACCCCGGCAGGAGAGACTCCTCTCTAACGAACCAACAAAAGGCTTGTAGTGGAGGTGTGGCTCAAGTGGTAAAGCACCAGCCTTGAGTGCAAAGGCTCAGGACAGAGCCCAGGCCCTGAGGTCAAGCTCCACAACTGTCACACACACTGAACGGATGGCTTCTTAAACCAGACGAGAGTTTAAAGTTTGATCTTACCTTCTCTAGGATGTGTAATTTTTTCAAGTCTTCTGACTTGAATTCAGGGCTTTGCACTTTCTCTTTGTGGCTCACTGCTGGTGCTCTACCATTTGAGTCATACTTCCAGTCTGTTTTTTTTTTGCTAGTTGGAAATGGAGTCTTTCGGACTTTCCTGCCTGGGCTGGCAATGAACCAGAAATCTCAGATCTCCGCTTCCTGTGTAGGTAGGATTACAGGCCTGAGCCACCAACACGGAGTTGAGTCGTACAGTGAGCTCCCTGTGTGCATATCCTATCATTGACTCAGGTTGTTATGTCAGGTTAGAATTTCAGAAGTCAGCATTCAACAGGACACAGAAAACAATGATAATGTTTCTTTTTGTTTCTTGTGTACCAGTACTGGGGCTTGAGCTCAGGGTCTCTCCAGGTCTGTATCTGACTTTTTCATTCAAAGCTGGTGTTCTACCACTTGAGCCACAACTACACTTCCCATATTTTTTACATCTTTTAGACTATTTCCAACAAATATGTGTGGCAAATCAAATTTTATTATTCTCTCCCATTCTTTTTTTAAAATATTTTTATTGTAGATACTGTACAGAGGGGTTACAGTTACATGAGTGAGTACATTTCCTGTCAAACATTGTTACCCCCTCCTTTGTTTTTGCCCTATCACTTCCCTCCCCACCTCCCCAGTCTCCCATTCTTATTATTGAACAAATACATGAAGATTCAACTTTCTTTTTTCCCTAAAATTCAATTAACCAGCTTTTGTTTCTCTCCATCATTGTGACTCGAGCCTGTTTTGACCCAGGTACATCATTTTGAGGAAGGAAAAAAATCCCATGCTGGCTTAACAGATGACTTTTTGCTTAAAAGAATAAAAAGCCCTTTCCCCCTTAAGGGCCAGCCACACCCAACACACATACCCAGTTCAGAGGATGCTAATATACACCTTGCCCACCTTTCTCAGCCCATTTTTCTTACTCAGACAGTTTCCAAGAAGCTCTTTGATAGAGACGCAGTCATTGGTTTCTAAGACAAAATGTTCTACAACCTTCCTTCCTGGCAGCTGACTCTTTACTGTCCAGTTCCTGACACTGTCCAGGACCACTGCCCGGATGTCTTTGGGTTTTCCTGGTATACCAAAGATGATGAACAGGCCCAGACAATCCTCTCCAATCAGATCACAAAACTCTTCCAGTTGGTCAAACCTGCTCTTCTTCCAAGACTCTTGCACTTGGGCATCTGGATTGAAGGAATTACAAGGCTTTGGTCCTACGGGAGGAAGGGACGCCATTTGTAGAGTCTGTACTGCAATCTGAAGCTTTATTTGTTTATCAGATCCCCAAAAGGTCCAAATCCAGTCTGCCCCAAACAGGAAGGCTTGATGCTTGGTCATTTTGGTGGTGGTGACCCACTCTCCAAGCCCCCTTTCTTGGCAGAAGGTGATGAAGGAGATTAAGAAGATCTCATTGAGTGTACTCAAAGCAGGGCATAGGCTGCACAAGGGATACTCGACCCCCAGATATTCCTTCAGTTTCTGAGCTGCATGGACGATGGCCTCACTGGATCCCTCACAAATGCTGTCATTCAAGGCCAGTGGCTGAGATGCTTTCTGTCCCATGGTTTGGGCCCAATCAACACCACTTTGAAATATCTAGGACGCACACATGGAGAATTGCTTCTTTTACAGAATGAAAGTTCTGCTACCAAGTCCCATCTATTAAATATGATCCCAGTTGGCTAAGTGCCTGGGTCCCTCTGTGGAGCTAAGCATATAGACATTTGGCTAAACAAACACGAGAGTATTCTGTTTGAGAACTGGGAGTGTGTCATACAGATTCCTGCTGGTTTATTAAGTTACATAATAAATTTCACAAAAACATCTGTTGTTCAGCACTAGGCCTTACTCCCTGTAATGTGTGCATGTGCACATACTAAGCCTTGAACTCTCAGCCTTCTCACTCTAGGCTAGTGTTCTTCTACTTGAATCAAACCTCCAGTCCAATTTTTGCTGATTAACTGGAGATGAAAGTCTCACAGACTTTTCTGCACAGGCTAGCTTTGAACCAGGACCCTAATTAGCTAGGATTACAAGGGTGAGCCACAAGTACCCAGCTTCACTGTACTTTTAATACTTTCGATTGTCTCTCCCCTTCTGGCACTCAGTGAGCACAGCATGTCGGGGCTGTTGTTTCTAGAAAGCATGCAGGTAGAGCTCATCTCATCAAATCTGTGCGTCATTCGTTTGATTTCCTTACATCCCTTCTATCATAATACCTCATTTGTTAGCTCAATAAAGACCTCAATTTTCTCTCTGTTGATACATTATGAACCCAACTCAAATTCATTCATGGACTTTACAACTACAAAGAGTTGGTATTATCATTTTCTAGAACAAAAACCAAATCTATTATTTTTGTGCCAGAACTGGGGCTTGAAATCAGGGCCTCATAGTGGCTTAGCTTTTTTCAAACTTATTTAGCCACACCTCCACTACCAGCTTTTTGCTGGAGATAAGATTCTCTCAGATGTTTTTACCCTGGCTGGCTTCAAACCTCCATCCTTAGAGCTTCAGCCTCCCGAATAGGTAGGATTATAGGTGTGAAAAACTAGCACCTGGCTCCTATGTTATTGTGAACAAAAAATAAATGAATAATGACAATTAAAAACATGAAACAATTATCAACTGGCTTTATTTCTTTTTGTAAGGTAACACCAGTATATATTATATGTGGTAAAGAATACATTGCCAATGTTTTCAACCTAATCACATCTCATCAGGCATTCATACTGTCATAAGATATAAAGAATATTTGGCATGTACAACAGTCTCCTGGTATTTTTGACCAGGTTCTAAGAACACATTTTTTCATATGGTAACACATATTTGCATGAAAAACCCCAATAAAGAACCCAATAGTTATCCAATAAATGATAAAAGGAAATCATTGTTAGCATGAACTCATTTTAGTTATCCATAAATAACCTAATGTTACAAGTTCCTTGATGAATACTTTGGTAAACTGCCGACAATATAATAATCCATTGATATTCAAAAATAGTTTATAGCCAAGTTCATTGGCATAAACTCAACTGCCCACCAACATCCCAATGTATGAAACTGTCTTTTCCACAATAGGCTAATGTGAATAGCCCTTGATGAAAAATAGGTATTTTTTCCTAATATCTCTTAAAAAACACAATGGTAACATTTTTTTGCTGCAGCTTTCAATTTGCTTTATAAAGAATATTTGGCCTTGTGTTGCAGAAAAACATGAACTATATTTTATCTAATAAAATAGCCATTATAAAACAAGTTTTTGCAGGGCATCAGTGGCTCATATCTGTAATCCTAGCAACTCAGGAAGCTGAGATCGAGAATCACAATTTGAAGCCAACTTAGGTAGGGAAGTCCATGAGACTCTTATCTCCAAAGTGGAACTAGGGCTCAAGTGGTAGTGTGTCAGCAAAAAGGCTAACGGACAGAGCCCAGACCAAGTTCATGCTCCAAGAGTAGCGTGTGCATGTGTGTGTGTGCGCGCACGTGCACACACACGCACATGCATACAACCAAACAAGCAAAAACTAAATTTTCAGCCTCAGAAATTTGAATTGTGGCCAGGCACCTAGCTACTCAGGAGGCTGAGATCTGAGGATCATGGTTCAAAGCCAGCCCGAGCAGGAAAGTCCACATGAGACTCTTATCTCCAATAAACCACTAGAAAACTGGAAGTGGGCACTGTGGCTCAAGCAGTAGAGCTTTTCGCCTTGAGTTGAAGAGTGCAGGGACAGTGCCCAGGCCCAGAGTTCAAGCCACCAGCGACCAAAAAAAAAATTTTTTTTTGAAAAGTGATAGAAATAAAAGCCCCACTGGGAAGGTGGCTCAGTGGTAGAGCGCTTGCCTTGCAAGCATGAGGCCCTGGGTTGGATTCCTCAGCACCACATAAGCAGAAAAAAAAGCCGGAAGTGGCGCTATGGCTCAAGTGGTAGAGTGCTAGCCTTGAGCTGAAAAGCTGAGGGACAGTGCCCAGGCCCAGAATTCAGGCTCCATGACCAGATCCCCCCGCCCAAAAAAAGAAATAAAAGCCCCATTCATTGGCAGTTGAGAAATGTACAATGAATATGTTTAGGCAAACTGTTAGTAGTTAATGTTCTTATCCAGCAAAGAGGAAATAAGAAATTACTGTGAAGGTTTTTGTTTTGCTTCTGATTTTATTAGAAATTATTTCGTGTGTGTGTGCGTGCATGTGTGTGTGTATGTGTATGTGTCTTTTGTCAGTCTGGGCTTGAACTCTGGGCCTGGGCACTGTCCCTCAGCTCTGAATTGTTTATTGGAGATGAGTCTGACGTATTTTTCCTGCCCCAGCTGGCTTTGAACTGGGATCCTCAGATCTCAGCCTCCCAAGTTGCTAGGATTACAGGCATGAGCCACTGGCACCTGGCTTGTGTGTACACTTTTTTTTTTTTTTTTTAAAGGAAGCTGTTGAATGCTTCTGGATGCATTCAAAATGATGTTCTATGAATGCCACTCAAGTTATTTCAAAAAAAGCAAATAGATCTCCCAGTGTTGATGGCTCACATCAGTAATCTTAGTTACTCAGGAGACTGAGATCTGAGGACTGAGGTTCAAAGCCAGTCTAGGAAGGAAAGTCTATGGGACTCTTATCTCTAATTAACTAACAAAAAGCCAGAAACAGAGGTGTAGCTCAAGTGGTAGAGTACCAGTCTTGAGTGAAAAAGTTTAGCGACGTTACCTAGGCCCAATTCAAGTCTCAGTATTAGCATGTGCGCGCGCATGTACGCGTGCATGCATGCACATACACATACGCACGCATGCACGCGTGCGCGAATGGATCCAAGATTGAGGCCAAAATTCTTTTTTTTTAGGGTAAATCTCTTATAAACTATCACCAATTTAATGGGTTATCAGAGAAGTAGATTTCATGTATACTGAGTCTGGAGGACCATGGCTGTGACATACAGCTGTGGAGAAAGAAAAGATCACCTGCCCTCCTCAGGAACTGCTGGCATATGAAAATTTAGATTCCTGCCTTTTGCTTTTGTTTTCATATGATCCTTTCATTACCTTCCTTAGGTCACAAATAAAAGATTTAGTTTCTATGCACGGTATATATACATTTAGAAAAATATATAAAAATAAGCCAGTAAGAGACAAGTGGCAGAGCCCTTGTAATTTGGCAGGCACATACAGTCACACATGCTTATGTCTTCTCCCCCACACCTCCATGCCAGGGAGTAGAAACGCTCACCTTAAATGCACTACTTTACATGGGATATTTCACAGATACAGATTTTTTTTTTTTACATTAAATAGAGTGAAAACAATTACGCTCCTATTCGCCTGTGTCTTGTTTTTCATGGCATCTTCAAAATAGGCCCAGGTCCCCTGCTTTTCATCTCCACCTGTAGATGTGAAACTTGAACCATGAACAATATACAATGTGTCAGTGGGGGCTGCATCTGAACGCTTAAGTGGAAGAAAGAGGAAATGGCTCTGGGGCGGCGTCAGACATTGGAGTCTTCATCAGTAATGCTGGCACTAGGGGAGCAGGCAGCGAAGTCCTTAAACATGTCGTCTTCCTTCAGCATATACTAGGGGAAGCAGATGGTTACCACACGCTGTGGAGACACACGTTGTGCTCGGACAGCATCACCCATCCTCTAACACCCAGGCAATTATATATATATTTTAAAGCATTTATTCATTCATTCACTCATGTGCCAGTATTGGGGCTTGAGTTCAGGGCCTTTACACACTTACTTGGTGTCATTTATTCAAGGCTGTAACTCTACCACTTGAACCATACCTCCACTTCTGTCTTTTTGCTGGTTAATTGGAAATAAGAGTCTCAGGGTATGTGTGCGGGTCTTTCCTAGGGAGGGGAGCTTTAGAACTATGATCTTCAGAGCTCATCCTCTTGAGTAGCTGGGAACTGAGCAGTGAGCCACTAGGGCCTCTCCCCATGAAGTTCTTTAGGATAATTTACTTATTTTGGGGAGGACTGAATTCAGTACCTCATCCTTTCACTTGGCTTTTTCACTCTATCCCTTGAGCTACAGCTCCACGTTTGGATTTTTACTGATTAATTGGAGTTAAGAGTCTCACACACTTTCCTATCCAGACTTTAACCTAGGTAGCTAAGATTAAAGGTGTGAGCCACCAACACCTAGTCTTGTGCAAGCTTTTTTTTTTTTTTTTTTTAAGTATTTACTCATTCATGCATGGACTTTCCTTCCTAGGCTGTCTTTGAACTCTGATCCTCAAACCCCAGTCAACTAAGTAGCTAGGATTATAGGTGGGATCCACCAGTAACCCATGCCATGTAGTTCTTTGGAGTGATTTTAGCAGTAATCATTAGAGTCACATTTCTAGTCATTCACCTGTGTCTTACAAACTTACTGTGAGATTGTTGATGCCTTCAGAGAATGCACCGATCTGTCTTACTGTCCCTTCAGAATCTTCCATCTGCAGAGAGCAAATCACACTGTACCTATTCATATCCATTATCTCATGAAAACTAAGCAGAATTGACATGAATGACACTGGGGCCAGAGCAATAGAACACAATTATGCTGTTTTCTTACCTCTACAATGTGGACAGCAAACATGAATATAAACTATATGCTGTGATAA